ACGGCAGCAAAGCAAACCTACTATGCTCTATTTGAGAGTCATATACGCTACGGTATCATTCTTTGGGGATACTCCACAACATCAAATACCGAACTAATTTTTGTAATCCAGAAGCGTACATATCCTGAAAGGCATTAAAAGCCAGACCACACATTGCAGGCCACTTTTCCGAGAGCACAAGATCCTCACCATATACGACCTTTGTTTTTATGAAAGCTTGCGTTTTATAATGCAAACATAAGTTTATATAATAGACGGGACGATACGCATTCCTATAGTACAACCAGTGACGGACTGGCCCGGCGGGCTGGCGGGCAGAGCCCACCGCGCCCTTAAGATTTAGCGCCCCGTCGGCATTGTTTAGTTATAAAATATAAATAATAGAGAATTATTGGAACTATTAAATACTGCCTCGCAGTATTAAGGATCTACGTTATTTTATTAGCGCATCAGCACTATCTTTCCAAGAAAAAAACAGTTATTGGAAGACTGTAGTAGGTACTAGGGTATTACCTTATTTTGTATTCATAATTTTGACAGCTGATAGCTATATTTATAAATTTCAGCCTCAAAAAGTGTTTATTTTTGTTTGTGATTTTCTGCTGATACCCATTTTTGGATGTTACCCACAGTAAAATGGAAAACTATTGTAAAAAATAAATTTTCTAAGTAAAATTACGTCATCGTCAAAAAGCGAAATGTCAAAGTCGTCCAAAATGTCAGAAATTTGAAATAAGGGAAGTTTACTGCCTTGCACTAACCATACACAAATAAAGACAAGCAGTAACCTTATTAAGGGAATCCTTATTTCCGAACCCAAATGCGCATGCGTATATGTCAAAATAAGGCTAATTTAAATACTGCTTGTCCTTATTGCACGTCCAATAACTCTCTAATATCAAATTAAGGTTTAAAAATATTTTTTAATAAATTCGGAATATCGATTACTTATTAATTTAGTGCTCTCATATGAATAAGAATTTCGAGTTTCCATTAAAGTTTTATATTAAATTCTGAGACTTTTACCGCGCTCTGTGAATTAGGTTAGGGTTGTATTCCAATCGTCATGCTATTCTTGTGCCGAGAGCCTTCCGCCCGACAAGCACCATCTTGCTCGTGCCTTGCGCTCTCCTGGTGTATTCGTTCTAGTAAAGATTATAGAACAGATTACCAGTGCAACAGTTTGCAAGTCTTGCAAAAATGTATTTATTGCAGTTACAGGCTATCAATCAAATTCAATCTTAGAACCAGTTTGACACGGTCCAAGTGCTCGGTCGAAGTGTACTTGGATGAGAACTTGGATCAAGTTGGAAGCACGCTTACTTACTTGGATTAACAGTTGGTACCATCCCAGTATCGTCCAAGTGACGCGCGCACAGCGTCCAAGGGTACTTGATCCACGTACACTTGGACCGTGTCAACCTTCACGCATATGGTTATCCAATACTTTCGAAAGCTTACAAATATTTGTCGACTATCAGGTGCAAATTAGTTGTGATCGAAGCTCAAAAAGCTGAACAATATTTAAATTAATTACGAAGTAACCTAAATCACAACAACCTGGAAGTGTTTATGATAATGTCTGTGGAAAAAATTTCACTCATGTCATTAGACAATAACGAAATTATAAATAATGTTGCTAAAACTAGCGAAAACCTCAATAAAATGTTGATTTTTTTTCTTGGAAAACAAATAACGGTTCGATAATTTATTCTTGTCGATAACATGAGCCTAACTTTCAATTAGTAGGTATAGGGTCACTTGAGCCTCGGAACTTTTTCGATGCCGTGGGAAAATCGGTGGATTTTACTGGTTTTCACTGGTTTTAGGCTGGATAAGCTGTTTTTTTGCTGGATTTTCTGGTTTTCACTGTTGTTTGCTGGTATTTAGTGCTAAATTTTACAAAACCAGCTAAACCAACATAAATCCAGTGAAAAGTAGTGAAAATCAGCACAAAACCAGTGAATACTAGCACAAACTAGCTGAACCCAGCATGAAACCAGCAAAATCCGCCGATTTTCCCACGGTATCGGAAAAGTTCCCAGGCTCAAGTGACCCTATACTTACTTCAACTTTTTCTTGGTGATGGCGCCCCATTTAGAAAACCGCCCGCCGTAAATTCAGAACCCAGTCCGTCCCTGAGTACAACTTCAACTTTTTTAAATGGAACACCCTGTATATTTTGCGATAAAATGAAAGACCTTTTCTTCCTGATTACAAATATATACTGGGTGTATATTTTAAGTATTTTAAGTGATACCACTATTGCTACATCCGAAACAGTGAGAGCTACAAGCTCGGTTAAATTAGAAAAAAATTACCTTTTTTGATGCCCATTTGAGAATCGCTTACAGTGTTGCCAAATTCCTTATAGTTTATGAAATACAGGTTCATAACTAGGGCCGAACTAAGGTAAAATTTTGGTAAAAATCACTGATGATCACTTTTTAGATCAGAAACGTCGGCCAATCATACTCAAGAGGTATATCGTTAAAAAGTGAATAAAAGGCGCTTTCTAAAAATGACAAAAAATTCAGGTCCGTATTTAAAAAAATGAAGTTTATAATGGTAGTTCGATCATGAAACGTCGGATTTAAAATTTGAAGCTGCCATGTTGTAGAGCGAAAAAAATTATAAAACTTTCAAATTTAAATTGTGTCTGGAAAATTAATAGTTTTCGAAATAATTGATGAAATTTTTAAGGCGTTCCTTAGAAATCACCCTGTATTTCATAAGCTAAAAGGAATTTGGCAACACTGTAAACGAGTCTTGAATGGGCCTCAAAAAAGGCAACTTTTCTCTAATTTAACCGACCTTGTAGCTCTTACCGTTTCGGATATAGCAATAGTGGTATCACTTAAAATATAGACCCTGTATATGTTGATCATATTTGCATGAGCCATTTTTGACATATCTCAGCTTAAATTATAACTAAATTGCAAAGAAATTTTATAAAGATAGAGATCCTCAACTTCTGGAACTTCTCTGTAAATTCTTTATAATTTAGCCTGAGATATGTCAAAAATGGCTCATGCAAATGTGATCAACATATACAGGGTGGGGACTTTAACTGGAACTAATTCGCTAGAACCTTCGGATAAAATATGTGGATAAAACGCAAAAACACGTCAATCAAGATTTTTTGCTTGAGTTTTTTTCACATTAATTTTTTCATACAGAACAGCTGTACGGTAGTTAACTTTATTTTTCCAAATGTTAGCCCCTGTATATTATGACATTTCTGGATTCTGCGGAAAATTCTAGACATATTTCATGTACAATGTCATATACCTATCTTCAACTGTTTCGGAAATATTGACAGTTGAAAATTGACATTTTTGCAACTTTGACAGGCTGTAAAACCTAAAGGGTTAATTTTAGAGGAAAACCGGTTTTACATTCCTATCTTAGATTTTCATAAACTATCATTTGACACTTACTTTGAATTTAACTGGAGATTGAATTTAACTGGAATTTTTAATCATGGATTAAATTCAAAGTTGGTGTCAAATGAAAGCTTATGAAAATCTAAGACAGGAATGTGAAATCGGTTTTCCTCTAAAATTGACCGTTAAGGTTTTACAGCCTGTCAAAGTTGCAAAAAAGTCAATTTTCAACTGTCAATATTTCCGAAACAGTTGAAGATAGGTATATGACATTGTAAATGAAATATGTCTAGAATTTTCTGCAGAATCCAGAAATGTCATAATATATAGGGGCTACCATTTGGAAAAATATAGCTGACAACCGTACAGCTGTTCTTGGAACACCCTGTATAAAAAAATTAATGTGAAAAAAACTCAAGCAAAAAATCTTGATCGACATGTTTTTGCGTTTTGTACACATATTTTATCCGAAGGCTCTAGCGAATTAGTTCCAGTTAAAGTCCCCACCCTGTATATATTTGTAATCAGGAAGAAAAGGTCTTTCATTTTATTGCAAAATATACAGGGTGTTCCATTTAAAAAATTCGAAGTTGTCTACGTTTCTCCATTTTCCGATGCGATTTTGTTTTTTCTGATAATGATAAATGAAAATATAGAAAAAAACTGTCAAGTTTTGTATTTACAATTTTTTTCTATCTTAAATAGTAAAGGCTGTAGATTGGTGCCAAATATAATCAAATACCCTGTACAAATTTTGTATTTAAACCTTTCTTCTACCTGTTAAAGTAAAGGCTGTAGGTGGGGTGTCATACATAAAAAAACAGAGTGGGCCAATTTGGACACTTTTAATGGGAAACGTCAATTTCTGAACCAGATACAAAAAAATGAACCCTCCACTCAAAGACTCAAATTTCATGAAATTTTGATTGGTGCAAACCGCATTTTGATATCTTCAACCGTTTAGCCGCTAGAGAGCTAATTATTTTGGCTTTTCTCATAAGAAGCAATGTGTTAGAAAAGGACTTTATATCTGTAAGGAAAATGAAAAAGGTCTCTTTCTAACACATTATTTCTTATGACAAAAACCAAAATAATTTTTTTCTCGAAAACGGTTAGAGATAAACCTATCGAGCTTTATATCATTAAAATCAGAAAAATCATAGATTTTCAATGAGCTATTAATATAAAGGGTGTCCTATTGAAAAAAATCATACTTTGGTCAATATCTCAAAATTGGCGCCAAATAGAAAAAAACTGAGAACGTCACTGAATTCTGCTTCAAAAATTTCTTCTAGAAAGGTTTTACGGAAATCAATTATTTCCATAAACAAAAAAGATATGGATTATTGCTCAAAATTGAGAATCGCCCTCTAGCGGCTAAACGGTTGAAGATATCGAAATGTGGTTTGCACCAATCCAAATTTCATAAAATTTGAGCCTCAGAGTGGGGTGTTCATTTTTTTGTATCTCGCTCAGAAATTGATGTTTCCTATTAAAAGTGTTCAAATTGGCCCACCCTGTACATAGAGCTCACTACAGTTTCCAAGAATACAGGGACAGAAGATTCGAAAACTGGAAAATTTCATTTGGCTAGTCAGCTTTCAAATCACTTACCAGTTCTTTTAGTAGAAGCATTAAGTTCAAGCACGTTAAACCCTAGTTCATTGGCTATAGCATATACAGCACTTGATTTTCCACTGCCCGTAGGTCCATAAAGCACTATGGTATTTCCTGGTAGACACATGGAATCTCTAAACAATTAAAAACTATTGATGAATTATAAAAAAAAAGTAGTTCTTACCTACCTGCTATCACAATCAGTACTTTCAAACTCAGACTCACTATTGCAACGTTTCCTATTCCTTGCTTTTATTTCTTGTCTATAATTCATCCAGATTTCCAACCATTTTTTTAACTCTGTAACACTATGGAGATTGCCAAGAATTTCCTCTGAACTTCTTGGTTTATATTTTTCTGTCCACATTTCATGATCTTTAATATTATTAATATCAGCTTGAACTTCATCCAGGCACTTACTTTTTCTTTTCTTGGTTTGTTTTTTAGGCGACTTCTTGTTATTTGGAATTTCATTCAAAAACTGCTTGCCACTCTTTTCATAGATGTGTCTGAATACTTTAAATACAGGATAATCAGGGTTCTCCGTTTTGATTTGTTGAAGAATGCCTTTAATATTTTTTACTTTTTCCACCTTGGTTGTTATATTTATTTCATAGGGTAGTTTTCTTGCAATTAAATTTTCACACTTTAAGTTTTCTGTGTCAATATTAGGAGAAATTGGTTTTTTTAAATTTAGGTCAGCTTCTGGCATGTTCCACATTTGGCTATCGCATTTTTGTTGTACGTGACTTATTGTAGGGAAGACATCATATTCTCTTTCTTCATTACTAAATGGAATTAATTGAACACAAATTAAAGAAATATATGTATTATGTGTAAATGTTATGAGTTGCTTATTTAAAAACGAATCACCTTGTGCATTTTCTTTATTGGATGAAAATGTTTCAGAAAAATATATGTTTGTATTCAGAAACTCGCAGCATATCCATCATTTAATTTATTTTTTTTAAATTATCTAGAGAAATACCTACTTTTCCAGTTAGATTAATCTGCCTTGGACTACTCTAGACTATTATAAAAAATATGTTTCAATTTAAAAGAGGAAGTGCTAAAGGTTATCAAAGTTTCTACAATGGAATATTTCTTAAAGACTTGATTTCGAAACAAAAATTGAAAAGTTTCATCCAATAAAGAGATAAGTATTCAGACATGTTTCTTATTAAATATGGATTAAAAAATAGTTTCAGTTTTAACCTTTTTTGTTTCCTTATAGTCTTTTTTAATGAATCAGGAACTCCGCTTATCAAAAATTGTCTTCTAGCTTCTACTACTTCTGGATCCAACTTGGGTTTAGGGGCTAGTTTTTTGAAAAGTGGGGCTAATTTCACTGGAGTTTTTTTAGGCTGCTTCTTATCTTTATTACTGTCCTTATTTGAAAATAAATCAATTGTTTCTATAGGGCAATCTTTGGTGGAATTTTTTGTTTTGTTGGTTGATTTTATTTTAATATTCTTAGGTAGTCCAAGTGTTTCTGTATAGTTTATAACACTTCGTTTTCTTAATGATCTTCCTGGTGTGTCCACCACATCATCAATCAAGGAGACTATTTCTTCCTCCTTGGTTGTCCTTTTCAAACACTCAATATTTGAATTAGAATCATCATCTATAATCAGCTGTTTATTTATTTTGCTATTGCTAATTATTATTAAATCAGAATCGTTAGATGATTCATCTGTAATTATGACCTGGCAATCTTCTAGATTTTCCTTAGTTTGCTTGGAAACCTTTGCAATATCCTTTTTAGCTTTTACTGAGGATTTAACTTTATTTTTATTGAATGTTTTTGCTGTTTTTTTAACAGGCGAACAGAAATCATTTAAAGAATCATCTAATTTTACCTGGTTTTTGGATTTATTATGTTTTTCTTTGTTACTTCCTAGAGATGATTTATTACTAATTTTGCTTAGAGGGGTAAACATTTTTATTTTTATTATATTTTTTGTATTTGTTTGCTTAGGTGAGTCATCAAAACTGCTCGGAAAACTGTATTCAGAATCTTCTCCATCAAATTCATCTACAAAATTATTTCCTTCTTGTTTTTTCACTGAGGATTTTGTTGATATGCTTACATCCTGAGAATTTTCTTCTACTTCAATAACGCTTAAAGTTTCAGTTTTTTCAGTTACTGAATCTCTACTATTCTCTGATTCGGATGAACTAATTATTTCCACTTTCTTTTTAATCTTTGATTGTGGCTCTTTTTTCTTTTCACCTTCTATCAAGTTTTTCAATCTTTTAACCCTTTTTTTCATTTTAATATCAATACACTTTTCAACCTCCTCTTCCTGCCTTTTACGTTTACCAGCCCCTTTTCGATCAGCCCAATTTTTAAATAGATTTTTCCTAGCCTCTAACTTTTGTTTGTCTTCGCAATGTGAATCATTTTGACTGTCATCCTCTTTTCCACCAGTATTTTGGCCTATAATATTGTTTCTACTGTTCATTAAAAACTGAAAAGCATTGATTTTTGGAGTCTGTTGGGAAGATGATTCCTCTAGTGGTTGACTCTTTTTGGTACTACTACTACTATTGTTAGCATTCGTTTCTGCTTTCTTTGTTGTGGGTTTTGTTGAACTTTCCTTAGATTTTATTGTCGATTTAATGGGGGTTTGCAATGATTTCCTTTCTTGGTTCTTATCAGTGGATTTATTATTGGTTCCACTTGTATTTGGAGAAATTATACTAAGATTGTTAGAGAATAGTTCAGCTATACTCTTTACCTCGGGATCTGTTGGTTTCCTTTTCTTCTTTTTCTTAGTTAATTTTTTCTTGTTTTCAGCTTTATCAGTCCTTTCTTTGGGTGATTTTAGGCTGGTATTATTAGGGCTTACATTTTGATCTTTTGGGCTTCCACTGGTATTTACCACTTGAATAGAGGATTTCGTTGCTTTAGTTGGACTAGTAAAATAGTCAGTTATATTCTTCATAGTTAAATTAATCTAAAATACACTAAATAAACTGATTTTTTGAACAATTGGAATAATTAATTTAAAAAATTATAACAATTTCACAATATCAACATACCAAGGCAAGGAGGGCGCCAAATTTAAAAAGTAAGGTTAGGAATTAGAAGTGTCAAGTGTTGCTACAAAATAAATTTGGCAACAGCGCTTATAGGTCGACCTGTGACTTCCGCCAATTTTGCACAATATCAATCCACAAACTTCATCCACATTGGTAAATATTTCACAATATTTTTTAATAACTTTATCACAAAACTACCTCAATATTTAGTTTAAATTTGGTTTATAGACAAGTATAGTAGTAAAGTTGAAACATGTCTTGTCCCTGGGCAAAAATCGCGAAGCCAGAACCTGTAAATCTGGCTGAAATTATGTCTGAAGAGGTAGCCAGGGATTTGCAAGCAAAAGAGGACAAAAAACTCATGGAAATACAGGATTTGGGTAAGAATATAACTTAACATAATCTATACGTATTGTCAATTAAGTTTTATGGGGTGTCTTTGTTTCTTAAAGTTTGGGGGAAGTGATACCTAATACGAGTAGGGAGTAGGTACCAAATATTTTGTTTTCCCTGAGTTAAGAACTCTTTTCTCCTTTGATTTCGAGGTTATGTTCTAACCTCTTTTTCCTTCGATTTCCGCGGTTATTTAAACGTGATTTTTGAACTTCTTAAGAATCCACAACCTTTTTACTTTGGCCCTGGCTAAAGTAACAGAGGTGTTACTATAATTTTTCTTTAAAGTAACATCAATTCAATGTTGTCACTGATGAAAACGTTACTTTTAATAGGGGTTAATAGTAACGGAGGTGTTACTCTAATTATTTTCTTGAAGTAACGTCAATATGTAGATAGGTAATTACTTTCTTTAGCAATTTAAAGTAAAGGTGATATTCTTGGTTCTTGGCATTTGTTTTAGAGTAAAAATGGAAATAAATAAAAAATAACCTGACTTGACTTTGAAGAATAGAATAGAATACTTATAAAACAGGCACAATTATAGGCAAGGCAGGAAAGACAAATTTTCTTATGACTGTCAGAAAGTGACAATTTGTTACCTTGTTTTCAGGTAGGAAAATAGTAATTTCGCCTCCCTATGAAGGAAAGTAAATTATTTTCCTTCCTAGGCAGAAGTTTTTTCGCTGTAGATTATCATCAAATTAAGAACTTACCTACATATCTTCATTTGCTGAAAAAAAATGCTTGAAGTTGATGGCCATTATTTTATAGGTACCGCTAATGATTAAAAATGGAAAACTGAATTTTCACTTTGCACACTTATAAAAAGGGAAACAATCGAATTTCACCTGCAGGCTGCAGGAGAGAACTATACCTACACTCCCGTTCCTTTGTAAGGGCATGTGAGGAATAGGAATATGGAGACGCCGTTTTTCTCACAAAAGATTTGTATTATCAATATGTTGATTCAAATTTTTGGTTTATAAAAAATAAAATATTATTGTTATGTTGTTGAATATCACCTTTACTTAGTTTATATTGCTAAAGAAAGTACCTACCTTTCTTTTCTATATATTGCTACTATATTGACGTTACTTCAAGAAAATAATTAGAGTAAACACTTTTCTGTTACTATAATCCCTATAAAAGTAACATCAGTGATGTCATTGAACTGATGTTACTTTAAAAAAATATTTATAGTAACACCTCTGTTACTTTAGCCACGGCCTACTTTGATTTTTTTTGAGGTTTAGAATAATTGGGAAAAAAAGGAAAGTAAATTACTGTGTCCTATTATGTATAGACAGATGAATGATAATTTATGAAGAAAAATTAAACACGTGAGCAGACGCAACGAATTATTTATTCAAATTCGATTAGGTACAAGGCAAACACAAAACAAATAAACAAATAAGCACTTTAAAAATAAGAAAAAATCTGGGCTCTGGGATGCCTATTAACTTAATAATATTCTAATTTATAAGACATTACATAATATGACCGCTTATTACTTTCAGGAATTAATTAAGAATCAATTGACAGTTGATTTGCTATTAAAATTGCCTCTTCTGGCTTTGGTTTTGCAAGCAATTTTTTTTTCGACTTTTTGGACTTATTTCTGGTGGAAAATAAACGTCTTTGAGGAAGTATATTCTTATTGTGAGGAATAGTTTTCTTATCTGTGAGTCCCAATAGATCCATAGCATGTATTTCTGTATCGCCACTCTGTGCGTCCATTGCCTTCAACGTTGGATGAACAGGTGCAGTAATTTTCTCAACAGCTTCAAGTTGATCAAAGGATGATATATTTTGTATTTCTTGAGTTAGTGAAGCTATTAATTTTTGCTTTCTAGTTTCCAAGTCTTGGGTTGTTCTGTTTGGATTGGGGTTAGATTTACTTACAACATTTACCAATTTTTCTTTTTCTATAGCTCGGTAACTACTAGTTTCGTCTATAATAATTAATGAATATTCTTCATCTGGAAAAAATACAAAGTACTAACTGCAGCATTTTAAATGGGTATACTCAATATTCAGAAATATTGAAAATAATTACCTATCAGGCCAGGCCCCCAATTCTAAATAGTAAACGTAAACAAAAAATCAAGTCAAGTCCGTTAGAACCAGACAAGGAAAAAAGAGATTAGAACATAACCTCGAAATCAAAGGAGCCAGAGTGCATTTTTGTCTGTAGCCGCGAGTATCTTAAGCCTGTCCGAATTATTTGTCCCCATGTAGCACTGTGTTGTTGATATTGTGGGCTGTAAGCTATATCTTGATAACTCTACGCTATTTATTTTTGTATTTATATTCAACCTAATTTTCACCAGAGCCTATTCGAATTTTTCAAATATGAACCTATTCAGAACAACCAACAAGAAAGTTGCTTTTATTGGTTATTTCAATCCCAACACAAATGTAAAGAAAACTCATAAATGATTTTTTAGCGCTAGGGGACCTAACACAATATAGCACCCTCTCAAACATATTGTCGGTCTCAGGACATAAGGCCCTATCTCGTTTTTTACAAGTTTTCGGGAGAGCAATTAAAAGAAAACTAATATCTTTACGCCAATATAATACAAAGAACTATACTGATTTTTGGTCTCTTTTTTTGGAATTATTAACAACAACTCATGTAAGTTTTTTGTCAAATACCTACCACATTTCATAATAGAAGTTAACATTTGTGTCTCAATATTCGCCTTTATGCTGTGATAAAACTATTTATATTTCAAGATAGGACCATGTGTTTTCTCACTTTTTTAACGAAATGACCTGATTTCAAGATAAGACCCTTGGCTAAAAACAAGTATACACTAAATACAACATATCTATGAACTTAACTCATTTTGGCCCTATTTCGAGATAGGGACTTATGTCATGAGACCGATGATATAAGGAAACATATTGAACTTGTTTTTGCTAACTTTGAATTTGAGTTAACTAGAGACCATCTTCATCTTCCCTTTGTCCTGGAGGATGCTGCACACCCCACTTTATTTAGCATTACATTTGACATGTTGCTAAAACCCAGATGCCGGGTTTAGTGACTTTCCAACCTCTAACACAAGTAAAAACTTATAACTTCAATAAAGCCAATTTTAACTGGATGTATCATGTTATACAATAGTAGTATGTACTAAGGGTCGCAAATTGGGACTCTTTAATATAGTCTTTTGCTAATAATTACATTTCCCACAATTTCATCTCTCACAAGAAAATCTCGATCCTGGAGCGCCCCAGAACATAAGCATTAGTATCAACCCCGGTATCAACTACATACATATTATTTTGTTATTTTTTTTTAAAATTTATTTTGTTATATGATTTTTCTAAAAATTTTGTCTATTGTTATTATTATGGATTTTTTTTTTTGTATTTCATATATTTTATTATTTGAAGCAATGCCTAATATGTAGGTATTTCCTTCACACTGTGAGCATGTCTAAAATTGAGTTAGGTACACATATCCCTGTGATAGCTATATAGGGGCATTATGCACATGGTGGGTTTTTGTAGATTTTAAGTTTAATTTTTAAGTTTCACCAGTCCTATGTATAGGTAACTGATTACCTCTATAGGTATTATAATGTTTAACATTGTAATAATTTTCTGGAAATAAATAAATAAATAAATAAATCAATGAAAGTAATGTTAACCAAGCCTTCAATAATTTCTATAATACACTTTACAGCATTTTTGACCAATCTGTCCCATTATACAGGTTGTCCCACGGTGGATAGTGTATTAGATGTTTATGGAGAACTGAAAAGTGAAGAATTTTGAAAAACATCTACACTTGAAAAATATTTTTGACTATGTGGTGTTGCCGCTTCTATTCTAAACCATTGGCCACTATTTTAAATGGAACACCCTGTATATTTATCTTTCTCCAATAAAACTATTTTGAGCTGAAATTTGGGCTACCCCTGAACAATGCCTGTAGTCATTTGATTTTCCGGTCACATCTTAGTTCAAGTATACAGGATGGTCAAGAAATTAATTTTTGCCAGTAAGGAGTTTCATTGTTGCCAGACAGGACTTGCATCACCTACCCCTAAGAAATGTGGTTAAATTTCACATTCCATAGCATTTCAGAGCTAAGTTTAGAAATTGTTTTGCTTATAGGTGTATAGAACTTCTTAACTCAGACACGTTTGTCCTAATAGATACTAAATCTCTTGCAAAATCATTATAAAATGTTTCTTACTAATATAATGTTAGAACCGTTAGAACAATGTAATTGATACATACTCGTTAGCAGCTAAGTCTGTATTTCTGTTAGGGTAGTATGGAACGAGGTATGGAAGAACGCTAAGCAAATGCTACCTACTATGTAATTTGCATATTTTTCTTTGTATATTTGCTTTGCGTAATAAACTTTTTTTCTATTCTATTCCGAGTTCTATTCTAACTTCTAACAAAAATACCAGAAAAATGATTTTTTCAAATGGAACACCCGGTATAATGATATGGATTTGAAAAGCTGATAAAACTAGCTTTCAGACTATGTATACTTTGGCTATACCTAATAGACCTATCTATTTTACCAGACAAAGAGGCAATAATACGAAAACTTCATTAAATAAAAAAAGACACAGAACGCTCATTGCGCAAGACGAGGCAAAACGTACCAAATTATGTTAGACTTACGTATAGCAATCCGTCCTTCTTATTTGCACAGAATAAAAAGGAAAGGAGAAAAACCGCGTGTTGTGCAACGTATTTGTCAATGAAAATGTCAAACAACTTCTGAATGACAGTTGTCAAGTTGAATATCAACTTTAGATTTATTCTTGTCAGACCACGTGCATTGAACAAGGATAAAGAGATGCCCAGCGTGCGAAACGATCACCTCACACCTGTATTAGCTAGCCAATAAAAAAACATTGCCTCGTGTTGCGCGCGCATACCAGGTAAAAATAGATAGGTCTATTCTTCATGTTTTCAATTTATTAGCGCTTATTCATGAAATTTCATGATCACACTGTCCATGGATAATAAATAAATTCATTAAACTCATTGGAGTAATTATGCTCTTCCGCCATCGTAGGTACTCAAATCCCAATGATTAAAAGGATGACATTTTTCCAATGCCTGTATTACATCTGTGTATTTTTTCGTGTATTTATTCATGTAGTTCAGGGTGCCAACCTCAGTGCCAACATTATTTTGTTTTTAATAATGCTGAAATACCAGTGACGGTTCGCCCATATGGCCAAGGTGGGCACCGCCACCCTGAAGATAAAATGGAAAAACAAAAAATACTTTTTCTACTACCGTGCATGAGTACCACCCTGAAGATAAAATGGAAAAACAAAAAATACTTTTTCTACTACCGTGCGTGAGTACTCACTTTACGCACTATTCAGAAGATGTAAAATTGCACTTCACGCACTAGTGCGTAAAGTAATTCACTTCACACACTAGTGCGTAAAGTAGTGTCAATGACAGATGTCGACACTGTCAATTTAGTATTTTTCTGGTGAATTACTTCACGCACTAGTGCGTAAAGTGAAAATACTTCACGCACTAGTGCGTAAAGTATTTGTCTAAATCTATCTTTTAACACATATTTGATTGGAAGTAGAAAATTTTTTATATGCAATACGTGCGTAAAGGTCACTCGACGTGTTGTCCAACTCGGCTTTGCCTCGTTGCACAATTTTCACGTCGCGTGCCTAAAAGACGCTCATTTCGTAACTTATTGTATAAATAGCTATTTAATACAATATTTGAAAAGGCCGCAACCTTGCAAATCTAGAAAAAATCTGCCAACAGCCTTTTTTTATTTTTGTCGCCCACCCTTACTTGGACACCAGGAGCCGCCACTGTGAAATACAGAGATGTAATAAAGGCAAAAAAAAATTATTTCCCCATTGCTATTACAACCGTTTAAAGTTTTTTGATTATGAAATTTCATGAATAAATACTAATAAATGGAAAACATGAAGAATTAGGTATAGACAAAGTATACTTACATAGTCTGAGAACTAGTGTTAACAACTTTTCAAATCCGTATTATATAGGGTATTAAATTTAAAAAAAAATATATATTTTTCTGTCATTTTCAAAAGTTGTTGACACAAATTAATTTCTGGACCATCCTGTATACTTGAACTAAGATGTGAGAGAAAGAAATGCCTACAACGCAGCGATAACCCAAATG